ATCCCTCTTGTGTGCTTTTAGTGTAAACACATTTGTCACACTCATTTATTTTAAATCCATTTGACAACATTGTAGTGTCAAACTTATGGTGCCATTGCTTAGGTGCTTGTTTTAAACCATAAAGTGATTTAACAAGTCTACATACCTTTCTCACTTGGCCATGCACTATGAAACCTTCAGGTTGTTCCATATAAATTTCCTCGTCCAAATCACCATTTAGAAAAGCAGTCTTGTCATCCATTTGATGAATCTCAAGATTATGAATTGCTGCAATAGCAATCAACATACGGATGGATGTTATCCTCGTGACTGGCGAATATGTATCAAAATAGTCTAAGCCTTCTTTTTGCTTATAACCTTTGGTGACAAGTCTTGCCTTGTACTTGTCAATAGATCCATCTGCTTTCATCTTCTTTTTGAAAATCCATTTATAACCTAAAGGTTTGTTTCCAGGAGGAAGATCCACCAATTCCCATGTATGATTTTGCATGATGGATTCAATTTCAGCATTAATAGCCTTTTTCCAAAATGGAGCTTCTGGAGAGGATATAGCTTCCTTATACGTTTGAGGCTCATTTTCTAATAAGTAAGTAAGAAAATCAGGTCCAAAAGACGTTGATGTCTTAGCCCTCTTACTACGTCTTGGTTCAATATCTTGTACATGTTCTCGGTCTACAGAATTATCATTACTTTCTTTATGACTGCTACTAAAGTCATCATAAATTCTTTTCAAAGAACTTTGTTCTTGTGCAATTTTCCATGGAAATACGTTTTCAAAGAATGTAGCATTCCTTGATTCAAATATTGTATTAACATGTACTTCGGGATTATCCGATTTATGTACAAGAAATCGATATGCACCACTATTTATGGCATAACCAATGAAAACACAATCAATGGTTTTAGGTCCTATTTTAATCTTCTTAGGATCAGGGACCATTGCCTTAGCTAAACACCCCCAAACTTTAAGAAATTTATAAGAAGGCTTTCTGCCTTTCCATAATTCATAAAGTGTTTTATCTAACTTCTTGTGAAGTAATTTGTTGAGAATGTGGTTTGCAGAAAGCAATGATTCTCCCCACAAATTCTGAGCTACCCCAAAACTTATCAACATAGCATTTATCATTTCTTTCAATGTACGATTTTTGCGTTCAGCAACTCCATTTTGTTGAGGTGAATAAGGAGCAGTAGTTTGGTGAATAATCCCATGTTGAGTACAAAATTCAGAAAAGGGTGCAACATATTCACCTCCCCTATAGCTTCTTATAACCTTTATCTTTTTGCTAAGTTGATTCTCAACTTCATTCTTATAATTTATGAATGCTTCTAAGGCTTCATCTTTGCTTCTTAGCAAATACACATAGCAGTACCTTGTGCAATCGTCTATGAAAGTAATAAAATATTTCTTGCCTCCTCTAGTTTGCACAAACTTTAGATCACAAATATCACTATGAATTAATTCTAGAGGTTCCGTACTTCTTTCAACGGAGTGAAATGGTGCTTTAGTTGACTTTGCTTCCACACAAGTTTCACATTTATGACTTATATCAATATGAAACTTAGGTAATAGGTCCATGTTAATTAGCCTACGTATAGTATCATAATTCACATGTCCTAACCTCCCATGCCATATATTTGGCGATTCCACAATATAAACAGAAGAATTAACTTTATTGATAATTTTGGGTACAACAGTTATTACATTCAATTTGAAAAGACCATCACTGAGATATCCTTTCCCAACATACATTCCACTCTTTGTTAGTACAAACTTATCAGACTCAAAAACCAAACGGAAACCATTTTTGCTCAACAATGGTCCGGAGACTAAGTTCTTTCTGATATCAGGCACATGAAAGACATCGTTAAGAGTAAGTTCATTTCCAGAAGTCATCTTTAGAATTATCTTTCCTAGGCCTTGAACTTTGGATGTAGAAGAATTCCCCATGAACAGTTGCTCTCCATGAGTAACTTCTTGATAGGTGGTAAACATTTTTCTATCAGAGCAAATGTGGCGAGTAGCCCCAGTGTCAACCCACCATTCCTTAGTGTTTCCCACCATGTTGACTTCAGATACCACGACCGCAAGATTTATGTCAGTGATCTCATTAGACAACCTCTCTTCCTCGGTTATGTGTACCTCATTATTCTTCTATTTCGAATTGTCTTGGCCTTTGCGGTTTTGACATTCGCTAGCACGGTGTCCTGTCTTGTTGCAAACAAAGCACTTGCCTTTGAACTTCTTAGAATTCCCTTGGCTTAAGCTTTCACCAGAATGCTTCCTCTTTTTGTTATTCTTTGATCCACCCTCCACAATGTGTGCCTTGGCTTGCATAAGTTGATTGTTAGACTTCTTTTCAGAGCAACGATTATCCTCCTCAATTCTTAATCTTACGATTAAATCCTCAAGTCCCATCTCTTTGCGCTTATGCTTGAGATAATTTTTGAAATCTTTCCAAGCAGGAGGTAATTTTTCAATTACTGCAGCCACTTGAAAGGTCTCACTTAGCGACATCCCTTCAGCATGTATTTCATGAAGAATAAGTTGTAGCTCTTGGACTTGATTGATAACCTTCTTGGAATCTGTCATCTTGTAGTCAAGAAATCGACCGACCACGAATTTCTTCATGCCAGCATCTTCAGTTTTACATTTCTTGTCAAGAGAATTCCATAAGGCTTTTGCATTTTTAATTGGACTATACACATTGTATAGTGCATTATCTAATGCATTGAGGATGTAATTCTTGCAAAGAAAATCAGAATGGTTCCATGCATCTACTGCAGCCACTTCTTCTGCGGTAGTTCCAGACACAGGCGCATCTTCAGTAAGAAACTTTGCCAAGTTCAGAGTGGTGAGGTAAAATAACATTTTCTGTTGCCACCTCTTGAAGTCTGTCCCATTGAACTTTTCAGGCTTCTCACCATGATTGGTGGAAGATGGGATCACCACGGGCATAACACTCGCAATTGACGTGCTACCCAATTTAGTAGAAGAATTACTAGTATCAACCATTTTCCCTTAAGAGAGAAAATCACACAATTCAATATATTATACTTAAAGTAAAAGCAACAAAGTATTATGAAGCAAATAGACTTTAGTTTCTTAACACTGTAACCCACAAGATTATTTAAATAAACTTGGCTAATAGAATATAACAATTTAACAAAACTGGAAGATATTGTTTGAAAAATTAAGGTTTATTTGCTATATCTAAAATTGGTTTGTCAAACAAACAAACAACTAAGTAATTCATCATATTAATTTATGAGCATGCATCGAAATTACCATCATAATCATCATGAATCATGCTTCATTTATAAATGCAAATACCAATCAGTACTATAATGCAAATGTACTGCTTCACAATATATGTCTCCGAATAATCAATTAATATATAGGCAGCACTATTGTAATCAACATGCACAACAATATTGGACGCAAGAAAGAACATACAAAATTCAAATCTTGTCTTAAGTTGTTTGAAAAAAGTTATGGAAAATTTGCTATATATTTTATTATAAATTATTAAATAATACACAATAAAATCTCTACAAATGCAAGAAGAACAAGGAATAGAAGAACCTTAAGAGATCGAGGCTAGAATTTGATTCTATAGCCTTAAGACAAGATTGCCCCTCAGTGGTGCCTCAAGGTTTGCGTTGGCAAATGTCTCCCAGGATACAACGATCTTTCTCTTTGCGGAAGTAGCACTCCAATCCACAAAGAACAGCGAACCAAAAGTGTTTAAAACTCTCTCTTTGTTGAACACTAAACTACTCTAATTTTTATATGATTTCTGAATGCAAAAGTATATCTAAAATGCTTGACTTGATGGTCTATTTATAGGCTTCGAAATGCCCCATTTTCAAAGGTTGTGTCTGTTTCCAAAAGGCAAAGGATGCAGCCTTTGTTTAAAGTTGCATCCGTTTCCAAAAAAACAGAGTTTGCATCTACAATGCAACCTTTTTGTTCAAATGACGAAAAGCTACAAAGATTGCAAACTCAATTGACAAGAGCTGCAAAGGTTGCGTCTGCAACCTTTTGTTTAAATGTACATAACCTTTGAAAACTGCCGGTCAAACCCATCCATGACTATTTTTAATTTTCATTCACTTGAACATTTAAAGTTTAAATATTAATAATACTAATATTTAAATATTAAATTTCTAACAAATTCCTTATAGTTTTTTCAAATTTGAAAGAAAATTTTCCAAAAAGCATAGTAAACAATGGGAATTTTTTTTTAACGGATAGTCAAGTTCTTCAGTTGCACTTCAAGGTGCCGCAAAAGAAGATAAAGGTTTAAAGTAAGACAATTTAACTGGAAAACTGAAAAGTTCACGTTTTTATTTGTACAAGATGAAGATTCAACAGAAAGAAAGAAAATAATAAAAAAATTAAGCAGTGGATTGGATTGCAGTGGAAATGCCTTACCTGGGTGTTGAATAAGAGCAGGAGGTTTGATCACTGATGGGGGGGGAGAGAGAGAGACATTGGAGAAAAAGTTACGGTACACCACCCAAGTGAGGAAAAAACAAAACTTAAAGTTTGAGGGAAAATAAAAAGGAGGGAAGATGCCCATGGGTAGGAGAGATTTTTCAGTGTGGCCGTCACACGAGGTGGTACACCATGTGTCGCTATATAAATGATGAGATATGTGTGTTAAAAAGTTAATAACTTAAAAAATAAAATTTGTCACCATTTATATAAAAACACGTGGTGTACCACCTGTGTTCCCGTCACAACTAAAAATTTCTCCATGGGTAGAGAGAGAATATGACAAGACTATGAGCTGTTTTAGTATTGCTGTGCTTTGAAAAAAAGCTGATTCTACCGTGCTTGAGAATAAGCAGCTATGAAATAAAGTGGTAAACTTTTTTGTAAAAGTGCTTTTTGAAAAAAAAGTAGTATGATAGTGTTTGGTAAACTTTTATGTAAAACAGCTGTGACTGTGTGAAATGACCAAAATGGTATAATACTAGATGTGCTATGACAAGCCATGACATCGTTCGCTGGCAACCTCTTCACCTTCGTCTTCCTCTCTCTCCTCATCTTCTCCCTTCGCATGGTCGTCGAAAATGGGACCCACTTCCTCACCTCATTCGTCAACCACGACCCTTCTCTCAAATCCCTCATCTCCTGCCTTGACCTCGCTGGCCCCGACAATACTAACTGCCGCTCTCCCAATTCTCCAACCGAGTCCCCTTCTCCGATCTCTCTCCGCCGCCGACACTGCCCATTTCTTCACCTCACTGGCTTCGGAACCTTAGATGATGATTTCTTCTCTGGCGATGACGACGACGATGACGATGCTCGCTCCCTTTTCGGCCCCAATCGGATTGCCCCAATCCTCATTTTCTCCTTCTTCTCTCACTCCACTTCTAATTAGGGTTTAATGAAACTTACGGAACTAGGGTTTCTGAAATTGCGCGCTCTAGCCTCACGTTCAAGGCTGAGAAATTCACCATTTCTGATGACAGAGCTAGAGGCAGAGATAGCGACGGAGAAAGCAATGAAGGGGAGGAGAAAGGCAACGATGAAGAAATGGACGATCGGGTCGTCGATTTGCAATTCTTAATCAACGGATTGGAGCTGGGTCGCCGGGACGTGGCGACGTTGTTCTTCCTCCTGAAAGTGTGAGGAATCAGGGAAAATAAGCCACTTTTTGAAGCTGCTTTTTGCAGCTTCTACTTTTTAGCTTTTTTTTCATCTAAAACTTTGAAAAAAAGCTGGTTTAGGGTGTTACCAAACACCAAAAACTCTCCCATCTTTTTTTCATACCAGCTTTTTATAAAATTACCTCAACCCCAAACCATACCTATATCTTTGCCCTCCATGCTGCTTAAATTTCTATATATTCGATTTTTTATTGTATTTTTGAGCGCTGACAAGTCGCCCGAGCCACTTGTTATATTTTGAAATCGGGTGATGTTGTTCACATATTCTCTTAATTTTCGACATTCTGATCGAATGAATTGACTATAATCAATAGATAAAAATTAAAAAAAAATGTGTGAAGGTTCACGCTATTCTTTCATAGAACTACATTCGTGGTTTCATTCTCCTTCATGGAGATATATAGGCAGTCCTTTCAAAATTCAACCATACCTCCCATGAACCCTATTCTCCCCTCATCGAAACACATCATAGCGATCATGATGGTTTGAAACGCAGCATAGTGATCATACTACAACACAAAGAATTACAAAAATGATTAAGAGAGAAGTGTGTTTACGCAAGGGAGCGAAGGTAGGTTTGGCCATGTGCGGACCAACACCTCGTCATAAGTTTGACACATAGATCTCTCATCTGAAGTGTATATGCAACTGAATTTGAGTCCATCAACACTCCGACAGTGGAAAGTGTTCTTGCAAAGCTCTAGGGGCAATGTAATCGTGCCCAAAATTCTTCTGCGCACTCGAATGATTTTCATCGAAAAGTTGACTTCTTAGATAAAATTTGACATGAGGAAAGTTGGAGACAAAAGCTAAGGTGCCCAAGATCATTGTATCAAAGTCTTAGAATTTTCTACAAAGCCAATCTTTCTAGTTTTACGTACAAAGTCAGTTTAAGTTGTATTCTAGTCAGAACTTCGCAGCTATGGGAGAATGAAGATTTCAAGGCCTTCCCGATTTTTTCCCATGACATGCCACATATTCCTGGAAAGATAAGAAGTCAAGCTACAATAATCTTATTTTTACAAAATTTTCTAGAAGAAAGAACAGTCTCAACTCTAGCACACAAAGCAGTTGAACAACAAGCAGTACAAGCTGCATAAGTAACAACATAGACAACTTCCTTGATTAAAATGTAACTGCTCAGAGGAAATTGTGTGTTATTTCGTACCATACATTTTCGCGAAGTTACGAAAGTCAGCTGTTTATAGAATTTTGCAGAACTCAGTTTTGAGTAACATGAAGACGTTATTGCCATTTTACCATTCATAGTGCATGCTTAAATTTTCTACGGGATTCCTAAGTTCTTCTTTCGAGCTCATATCAAACGACATACAATGTGCCGCAACGACCTACAAGTTTAAGATGGACACATTTATGATTAAGTCAACGGTTAACCTAAGAGTTCCAACCAATTCAAGTTTACTATGATGAGCTAAAACCAATGGTCACCCGCAAACAATTGCACGATAACTCCACATTTGTCCTCCTTCACTGCTTGCTTGTAATGGAAAAGGATATGGGGCATACCATATGGAGTAGAAGAAAGATTTCATAAATTTGAACGATTCTTACACCACATGGAAGTTATGAATCCAGATTTCCACACTTGAAGAAGTCCGAATGGCAAATTAATTTACCTCACTATGAAACCATTCAGAGTAAGGTGGATCTAAGTAAGAAGCGCCTTCATAGTCTAGTCATGGACTTAACAACTACGAGTGAAGTTGGATCAAACAGAGCAGCAATGCCACCATTATCCTGTTACGGTGCAGTTGGTGAAGTTCAAGCAACTTCACTATAATAACCATGATTGTTCCGCAAGACACGGAAACTTAATCCAGCAAGGAATCAACATGTTTCCTATAAGTCTTGGAGTTCCTACAATCTAAGAATTGGCATGCGCTGTAAGTAATCACACTTCTAAGAGGATGCATTATCTATCCTTAGATGTCCTCTATAATTCTCAAAGGCATCATAAAAGACAAACGAGGAAAACAACTTGAAGGCCCATTCGATGGGTGAGCAACCTTGGTCCAAACAATGGTATCACTCCAAGAGATAAGTACTTTTTTGATTATATACACGATTAAATGCATGTGCAGGATAGAAGACCTAAAACTGAGGATGATCTTTTCAAATCCTCGCATACCATTTGTTTGTACTATACTTATGGCCTTCTTATTTAGACCTCGTATAAATACTCGGGGGACTCAAATGTAATTATGTAATAAATGGAAGGGCAAATATGTAATAAGTGAGGAGCCCTTATTCTATAAAAGGACCCCTCACTCTTCTCATTAAGAGAGGCCAATTCTTAGGCCTGAGATCCCCAAACTCTCTCATATTTAGAGCTATCTCTTCCTCAGAAATACAATATTAGTGTGGACGTAGCCCAAACTTTGGGGTGAACCACGATACATCTTGTGTTATTTACTTTCTTGCAGATTCACGGTCGGATTTACGTTGTACCAAGACCTCCAGTTTTGTGCATCAACATTTGGCGCCGTCTGTGGGAATCAACACGAAAAACTATGTTGGTTCTCTTTCATTTTTTCACCTCCACCGTGAATCTGCAAAATTTGTAAAAAAAACCCAAAAAACTCCAAAGTTCATTACTTCTCTTTATATCCAGCAAACCCCATTTGAAAAATACTGAGAAGTTCCAAAATTATATCACTTTTCTCTAAATTGTGTGAAACCCATTTCCCAAAATCTCATAATCCTTCCATAAATTGAGCAAAACCCACCACTCAAAATCCCAAGTATTTTCGCACAAAAAATGAAAGAGTATAGGACCTCTTTAGCTTATTGGTTAGGCGTTTTGGCCTTCTGCCATAGCCTCATTCAAGCAGTGTTCCCACCAGAGCTCCGCTACGCCTTCGCCAAGCTCTTCAACAAGATCTTCCACTGGTTCTCCTCCTACTACTACTTCGAGCAACTCTACCTCAGCTTCACGGTCTCCATCACTGGCACCCGCCTTAGCCTCACCCACCTCTACCTCAACTCCACCCCAGAGTATTGGATCTCTATCTCTTTCTCTCTCATCATGAACTCCTCGCCCGAAATCTCTCTTTGAATTTCACCAATTAAGTTACCTTTCTTCTCTCTCGATCCCAAATCCCCCAAATCTATTTGACCCGACCCATGGTTGAATCCTCGCCACCTAAGCCCTAGACTTCCCGAATTGTTTCGACCCTCATCCAATCAAAGACCCGAGGCCTGATCTAAGGTTTTGTCCCCCCATTCGATTTTCGTGAATCTAGGGTTCGTGCTGTTGAATTCGACCCCGGATTGATGTTTCATCTCAAGGCGGATGATTGTGGGATCTATTGCTCGTGAATTGAAAACCGAGATGGAAGGTTATAGATTTGGGGAAATGGAAGTCAAGATGGAGAAGGCGAAGAAGCGTTTGGAGCTAAACTCGGACGAGTCAGAGATCGTGTCGCGAGCTGCCATCCTAGCTCTCCAAATCGGAAAGTCGAGCTTCTACGATGCCTTTGCTCTGAGAGGTATCCGAGTTAAGCGAGTCGAACCCAATGTCGTAATCTGTTCTTTCAAGGTCCCTCCACTTGTGTTGTTGAAGCTCTCAAAGTTGAGCTCTTTTTTATGTTTCTGGAACAGAGGATCCCTAAAAAAGGTACAATGCTACAGTGCAATCCCACACAATGCAAGCTTCCTTCCCAGTCCAAATCAAACCCCAACACTCTGCACATTGAATTTCGTCGAAGATGCTCTGCACATCGTCTTCACTTTTGGCTGGAGGATGGGCTAAACGTGGGTCTTGCAAGTGAAGGCGTGCTTTTCACTGAAGCAGGGACTATACAAATCACCTCATTCTTGTAAATCCTACTGTAATAGAGGGAATTATGCAGCTTACTGTAGGTCCTGATGGAAAGAGGAAAGAGCTGGAGAGTAACATGCAATCCGCTGTCAAGTGGGCTTGCTGGATAAAGGAACATAATAGAAAAAGAAAAAGATCATGATGTTGTTGAGAGTATGTTTCAAAAAAAGAAAAAGAGAAAAGAAGAAAGCAAAAGCAAAGAAAAAAAGCAGAAAGCAAAAGCAGATAAAAAGAAGCAGACATAATTGCGGTGGTGATGGCATGCAAAAAAAAGAATTATGGCGTGACCCATTGAGGAGAGGGTCGGATTTATTTTTGAATGATGTAAATTATTTTTCTTATCTTTTGGAGATATCTGTATAAACCCCATCAGAGGGTTAAAAAAAAAACGTCAAGCCCAAAATAAGGGGCTGGAGTGTTTATGTGGAGGTCGAAGGCCTAGAGGCCCAAAAGAGCCAGGCCCTCTATTATCACCAACCAGGTGATCAAAAGTACGTCCAGTACTACAAAAAATTATTCGGCACCCTGCCGCTATTATCACCAACCAGGTGACTAAAAGTACCCAATACTACAAAATTATACATGAGCATTACTCATGTTAATCATACATAAACATTCATGAGCATCACTCATGTCAATCATACATAAAAATTCATGAACATCATTCATGTCAACATTCATGAGCATCACTCATGTCAACATTCATGAGCATCACTCATGTCAACATCCATGAGTATCACTCATGTCAATCAACATAAACATTCATGAGCATCACTCATGTCAATCTAGCTTCAAAAGCTTCATTTACAAAGCTCTAGCTTCAAAAGCTTCATTTACAAAGCTCTAGCTTTGAAAACTTCATTTACAGAGCTTTAGCTTCAAAAGTTTCATTTATAGAGCTTTAGCTTCAAAAGCTTCATTTACAGAGCTCTAGCTTCAAAAGCTTCATTTACAAAAGCTCCAGCTTCGAAAGCTTCATTTATAGAGCTCTAGCTTCAAAAGCTTCACTTGCAAAACTTCACCTACAAAGCTTCAGTGCAGGGTATACAAATACCGCCTCCAAACAACCGCCACTTCGGCCCATACATGGATTCAATTTGAAGTCTCCAGCCAACAACCCC